TTCGTCATGCATCTGCTGATGCACGATAAACTGCCGTTAGCTTTTCTGATGGCTTTGTCACACTGCCGACTCATGTTCATCTTGGAGTCCACCAGGACTCCAAGATCCCTTTCCGCCTCCGTGCCACCAAGCAGGTCATTCCCTAGGCTGTAGGTGTGCTGGACATTTTTCCTCCCTAGGTGCAGTACTTTGCATTTCTCCTTGTTGAATTGCATTCTGTTGTTTTCTGCCCATTTGTCCAACCTGCCCAGGTCTGCTTGTAGCTGTTCCCTGCCCTCCAGTGTGTCCACTTCTCCCCACAGTTTTGTGTCATCCACAAACTTGGACAGAGTACACTTCATTCCCTCATCCAAGTCGCTGATGAAGACATTGAAGAGTATCGGTCCAAGGACCGAGCCCTGCGGGATCCCACTGCCCACACCCTTCCAGGTCGAAACCGACCCATCCATTATGACTCTCTGGGTGCGATCCTCTAGCCAATTTGCCACCCACCGGACTGTGTAGTCGTCCAAGTCATAGCCTCTTAACTTGTTCACCAGTATAGGGTGGGATATCGTATCGAAGGCCTTCCTGAAGTCTAAGTATATGACATCCACCCTTACTCCTGTGTCCAGGCATTTTGTAACCTGATCATAAAAAGAAACTAGATTAGTCAGGCACGATCTGCCTGCTATGAACCCGTGCTGGTTTCCCCTCAGCATAATTTGTCCTGCCGGGCTCTCGCAAATGTGAGCTTTGATAATTGGGAAAAGTGGTTATGCTAGGGGATAGGATGCAGATCCAAGTGGACCTGGACAAGCTGGAAAAGTGGGTGGAGCAGAACTGGATGCAGTTCAATAAAGATAAATGCAGAGTGCTTCATCTGGGGAGAAGTAACCAGTGACATGAATATAGGTTAGGAGGAGACGTCCTGGCCAGCACGATGGCTGAAAGAGACCTCAGGGTTATGGTTGATCACAGGATGAACATGAGCCACCAGCATGACCAGCTGTAGTCAACAGAGCTAATAGCATACTGGGATACATTAGCCGATGGGTTGCGAGTAGAGCTAAGGAAGTAATTATTCCTCTCTGCTCAGTACTAGTAAGACACCAGCAGGACTTGGTGGCCATCTATAAGTATGTAAGGGGTGAATATCAGGATCTGGGAGAAAAACTATTCACTAGGGAACCCTAGGGGAGGACAAGGAGCAATGACCATAAATTGTTAGAGGATAGTTTCAGGTTGCAAGTTAGGAAGAACTTTACGGTAAGGTTGACCAGGATCTAGAATAGACTTCCCAAGGAGGTGTTACAGTCCCCAAACTTGGAAGTCTTTAAGAGGATACTGGACATAAACCTTGCTGGAATCATTTGATCTCAGCAGTATTATGACCCAGAGCAGTGGGGTTGGACTTTATAATCTTTTAAGGTCCCTTCTAACCCTTAATTTCTATGATGATTCTATGATGAAGTTTTGACCCAGTCTGCTGTGGCAAGACTCTCCAGTCCTGCTCTTTGTTTTTTGGGTTTTTTTTCTGGTTCCTGATCCATGGCTTTATGCAGAGTTGGGCTTCACCTTGTAAACTACCTTTCAGAGTTGGTAATTTGACTGTTGATTTTTTTCTGGATCTTGACCCCTGGCTTGACTCGTTGCTCAGACTTCAACCTGTGGATTGCCCCTTGGCCATGGTAACTTGGTTGCTGGCTTTCTCCAGATCCTGGCTTGTGTACTGGACTCTGAATTTCCCTCCAGACCCAGTAACTAGGTTCTTGATTTCTGACCCAGCCTATGGCCTCTACCTTCCCTCATTGGCCTATCTATTAGGTCATACCACCCATCCCTGAGTCCTTAACAGCCAAAAACTAATATTCTAGGTAAATAAATAGCATTTTCTTGTGGTACATAAAACAAATATAAATTAGATCCAAATGATGAGTGTCAACAGTGCGTGTTATAAGGTCATGGCCCCTGCCTGCCCAATGCTTTACTGGATTGAGCCATGGGGAAAATCAGATGGTTCTGTCACTATTAACTTCTGATGCTGTTCTATCACCTACCACATCTTGATGTATATTTTTAACTATTGGGAGTTGGATATAGACTGGGTGATGATTTCACCAGTTCACCCAAATGGGTGTTCTTTGTGTGGCTCCTCTTCCCCTTACACCCCATCTTTGCAATGTCCCAACAGATGATAGTCATCTGAAACTTGGTTCTGCTGGGCCATTAGCAGCCAATCACTGGCTTACTGAGGGAAGGCGTCCCTAAGCTTGAATCAATTCTTCCAGACTCCATCAGATGATGACTTAGATCGGTTCCTTACAGGTCTGTGGCTCAATCACCTTAGATCAATTTGTTTAAGAGTCCATACAACAATCAACTTGACTTGATCCCCCTGGAGTCAGACTTTTTAGATCAGTTCATTTAATACCCATAGAACAATTTACTAAATCAATTCCTCCCCAGTACCTGAGTGAATCAATTTAGAGCAGTCGTTTTAAAGTCCATGGAATAATCAACTTAAATATATTCCACCCCAATGCATGATCAATCAATTTAAATCAGTTGCTTTGGAGTCCCCAAAACCATCAACTTAAATCAGTCCCTCCCTATTACTGGGATTCATACCCTGACCACAATCTGGAGGGAGCACATGTTCTGAAAACACAGCTGCATGCTCTCTGCTCAGATCAGCTTCTCTCATCACCTGAAGTAAATTGTTCATTTTTCTCAGGGCTTTTCTCCTGCCCCACTCTCTTCCCCTCACAATGAGTATTCCTTTCAGCCTTGTGTTCCATAGTGATGGAGTCTGTTCCCAAGTCCTTAGAGAACTACAGGTTCCATATGTAGCAGTCCAGATACCTGCTGTTAACAGATACAACTGTTAACTGATAACAGACAAATCTGTTAACAGATTTGTCTTTGTGCTTGCCTATGCACTTATGAGCCTGTAAGAAAAATGGCAGACTTGCCAGATGCCACTGACTTACACTTTAAAGCTGTAGGACATATTCTGCTCTCAGTTTTAGGACAGCAGAGCGGGTTGAGTCACCAGAATTACACTAGTATTTGAAATCCAAACCTGGCCCATTAGGTGCCAGTAGAGCATGTTTAAAATATTAATGTGTGTAAATGTATTTGGAGGTGATGGCACACCAAGACAAGAAGCAAGTTGAAACTCAAGCCGAGTGGAAGCTGTTTGGTTTTGTTCACTGGTGTTTTGTTCTTTCCTGTCATAGACACCTCCCTAAGAAGCCATATCATAACACACAGCCAGGGATTATTTCCCATTCCTTGCACCTTGTGTAGTCATTCACACCTATTCAAATAGGCAAAAGCGGGTGTGCTTTAATGGACAGTTCTGATCTGTATTTATACCTACTTTGTATAAATGTAAATCAGGTTCAAGGAGCAGGCAATCTGGCCTATAGTGTTCTCATTGACATATACAGCAGCAATAATTGACTGTGTGTGACATTTACTGACACTTCCAAGAGCCACTCATTTTACTCAGACAACCAATTCTACCTCAAAACTGAAGGCATCAAAATCTAGCAACCAAAATATCTGAAATGAACCCCAAACATTTCATATAGTGCCAACAGTTATTTAGGTCAATTCCCTCAAAGTGAAAACGTCTAGTGTGGAGAAACTCCAGTAATTTTTAGCAGTAAGTTCTGTGAGTGTTATTACTTACCTCTGCATAAATATTGAAGAATCTATGGAACCCTTACATTAGAAAGTTCTGCTGAAAAACACCATAGATGGTACAAAGCCTTCACAGCCAAGAACTTATTTCTTCACACCAGGGCTTTGCATTCCATTATCCCATTCCAGTACAGCCTTTGAAAGAGATTTCCTAAGGGTAGAAATACAAATTCAATTTAGAAGTCCAAAATCTGAGACTAGCAGGAATTTGAAAAGAGTGGATGAGCCTGGAACAAGTCTTTTGTAGGGGTAGCTTTTTGTCAAGTACAACATTATTTTCCAGCCTAGCATAATGTTGGCAAATAGAAAAGCTGGCTGAATAGTAAAAGGCCATAAATTCACAAACATGGAAATGAATATAAATGTTAGTGTGGTGGCGAGGTGCCCCCACAGGCACTTGAGGGAGAGGGAAGAGAGCCAGCAAACCCCAGACCCCGAGAGCAAGCCCCCAGAGGGGCGGAGGGAGGGTACCTCCCAGAGAACAGTGGAAGAAGGAGCCGCATTCACGGCTGCAGCCGCGCAAACCGGCATTACGCCGGCTGATTCAAAAACGCCGGCAGAGGGGGGAGCGAGGGAGAGCCGGAGAGAGAGAGCGCGGGCTGGCAGCTCGTGAGGTGAGCTCCAGCATGGGAAGGAAACAACCTAGCCTGTGAGGCTCCAGCAGGCAGCCCATGGAAGGGCTTTAAGCCTTCGTCGGGAGGCAGAACAGGAGGCAGACAAGGAGGGTAAGCAGAGGCACTCTTACAGCCACCTGGAGGGACTTCCACTCAGGAGGCAAGGGAGCTTCCTGCTTGTGGTAAGGGAGAGGAAACAACTAAGAATCTGAGAGGGAGCTGGAGTAAGGGGGATAACCCTGCAACTCCCCCCAACTCTGAGGAATATTTTCTATAAAAAAAGAAATCTTCCCCAAGGAGGGGGGGAGAGTGACCGGAACCCTGGGAACTGGTCTGAGGCTGTCATACAAGACCGGGAAACATCTATAATGCATCACCCAGCGGCTGGCATGTGGATGGGGTGTAGGGGAGACGGAGCCCCGTGGAACACCGTGTCACACGACCGTGAGTACTATCGTCTATCGGGTAGAATAGAGCTAAGACCTCCACTGTAGACCCCTCTTAAAGTGTGTTTAATATCCAAGTCATGGCAGGCGAGTTGAGGGGAGGGGCAAACCCCAATAGGCTGGGCGGCGAGAGGGGCGCAAGCTCCACAGTGGTGCATTGGCCGGGAACATTCTTATATGGCATTAACGGTGTCACAACCCAAAGTTGTGATTTTTGTTTTGTGTGCGCTTTGGCACTGCTAAATTATTTTCCCGCTAAATTGCAGCTTCTTTGCACAGTGGAGTTTTCTGCTGTAAAGGAGAACCCCGGTGCAAGGGAGAATTTCCCGCCAATTTGTAGCTTTCTTTGCATGGTGCATTTCTTTTTGCATCTAAGAAATGCTCGGTGCAAAGAGTTCCCGCCATTTGTATTATAATTCGAGCCCCATTATTGGCTTGCATTAAATTATTCACACGTGGCAGCTAGTGATTGGCTTGCTAGCCGTATAAAAGGCTTGAGTCGTTTCCGCCCAAGTTGGAGGACTCCACGAACACCAGGAGGAGGAGACTTCACGTCTTGTGAAGATCTCTAAGTGCTGCGGAGCCTATTGGACCCAGCGTATTTCAAGCAGGCAATAGAGGTCTGATCAGCCTCTAGCCTCTCCCCATCACAGAGCGCAATCCTCGACGTATCCCTCTTCCCTGTGCACAAAAGGACCCACGGAGCCTAGCAAACTTTGTGTGAGTGAATTGTGAGTGAATAAAAGGACCCATGGAGCCTAGCAAACTTTGTGTGAGTGAATAAACGGACCCACGGAGCTTCAAGAACTCCGTGGGAGAGAGCGAGCTTGTCGTAGTCCTCAAACGAGGATTTAATCGGAGCTGTGCCTGGAAAACTGTCCAGCCTACACTGCGACCATCTTTGGTGTAAGTAAATAATCTTTAAATCAACCATTATGCGTCCGTGCCTAATTCTAGCGTGCTGCCCGTTCTCTCCTACCCCGCGTGCCTGGGCTGCTGGCCACAGCCCGCGTGCGCAAAAGGGCCGCGGATCGCACCCGGCCCGCACAAACGGGACAGTGTTCCTGACCCGGGATTAAACAGGGATGCAGGAGCCAGTACTAGCACATGCAGAGCTGCTTACGCAGGCGATCCAGGCCATAGGGCAAGTGCTGGAAGTGCAGCAACTACAGGGCGCACACCAGCAAGAATGGATGCAGCGAAATGCTGCTCTATTTAAAATGCCCCGGATGACTAAGGAGGATGATCCTGAAGCTTATATCAAAGCATTCGAGAGGACAGCTATCCAGACAGTGTTGGACCATGGTCAGTGGGGCCATCACCTAGGGGCGCTGGTGATAGATCAGGCCCAAGCCGCCTACTGAGCTCTATCAAGGGAGGAAGCCCGAGACTACAAGACAGTCAAGGCAGCGATCCTCTACAGGCTTGAAATTTCACTAGAAAGTCACCGGCAGGCCTTCAGAGCCCGAAAGACCAAGGAGGCTAAGCGACCCAGGGGTTTGTTGCAAGCTTTAAGGGATTCACTATTAAATGGTTGCCAGCCGGCAAGTTCAACCAGGCGGGTGTGATGGACTAGAGCCTACTAGAACAGTTCATATGGGATTTGGAGGAAGACACCCAGAGATGGGTATGGAGGCACCAGCCACAAACTCGTGAAGAGGCGCTCCGCTTGGCTGAGGCCTTAGCAAATTCAGAAAGGGAGAGAGGATATGAGTGAGGCTCCCGAGGCCCCAAAGAGGGACAGCCAAGTGAAGGGGAGAGGCGGACCGGCCTGAGACGAGGACCACCAAAAGGGGTGGTGTGCTATCTCTGCGGGCAGACAGGACACATCTCCCACAAATGTGGGATGGGCTTGAGCGAGCTGAGTCATGCACCGACAGGATATCCTCCCTCCTGGGATAGAGGCAAAGAGGTGGAGAGAGGGGAGCCTATGGATTGCAGTTTTGGGTCCGCCACCCAAGACAGAGGTTGGAACTGACCCGTAGTAACCGCATGGATCGGAGACAGGGTGGTCAAGGCCACATTGGACACGGGGTGTTCCCAGTCCCTCCTTCGGGCAGACCTTGCTTCGCAGACAGGATGGAAGAATGCAGGATTCCTGATGATGATCTGTATATTAGGGGGAGAGATGCGGTTCCAGACTTGTTATTTGCTGTTCCGGGTGATGGAGTTTAGCGGAGAGGTACGAGTTGTTATTGCCCCAACCCTGGATTGTGAGATGATCCTAGGCCGAGAATGGTGGCCATTCTACACAGTCCTCAAGCGAGTGAGGGCAACGGAAGAAGAAAGGAACCGGATCAGGAGGGGAGAGGGATGGGCCGGCAAGGGCCCGGCGCATCAGGATGAAATAACGTTCAGCAGCATAGACCAGAACAGCTCATGAGCACAGCCCAATTCCATAGAGCTCAAAATGAAGACCTGGAACTCCAGCGGCTGTGGGATGCAGACCCCGGGGAAGGATCCTCATGGAGTTGTCCCGGATTTGAGGTAATAGGGGGGTTATTATATCGGGTACAATGGGGTGAGGAGGGTACCATGCAAGGGAGGCAATTAATGGTCCCGTTATCACTTTGCCGAGCGGTGTGGAGATTGGCCCATGACTCACCCAAGGGCAACCATTTGGGATGTAACAAGACCCAGGCTAGGCTGGCCCAAGAATTCTTTTGGCCTCGTCTCCAAGAGGACGTGGAAAGGTGGGAGGCCGCGTGCCCAGAGTTTCAGAGGGCAAAAGAATGGAAACCCCCAAGGGCACCCCTGAATCCCATGCCAATAATAGAGACACCATTCTCGCGGGTCGCATTGGATATAGTAGGACCCCTCCCAAGGTCCCATAATGGATATCAGTATATCCTGGTGATGGTAGATTGTGCCACCTGGTTCCTGGAAGCCATGCCCCTGAGATCTATAACAGCCACTCAGGTGGCGGAAGAGCTACTCAAATGGATAGTACGAGTGGGCATACCACGGGAAATACTCACAGACCAGGGGACGAACTTTATGTCTGGGGTGATGAAAGCCTTATGTAAAACCCTCGGCATCACCCAGCCAAAGACTTTGGTCTATCATCCCCAAACTAATGGTCTTGTGGAGAGATTAAATGGGACCATCAAGCAGCTGCTCAGACGGTGCTCCCAGGAAGACCCCCAGAGGTGGGATACCATCTTGACCCCCTTGTTGTTTGCCCTGAGGGATGCACCTCAAGAGTCAACACAGTACTCTCCATTTCAGTTGGTGTATGGCCATAGTCCCCGGGGGCTGCTACAAATCATAAGGGAAGAATGGGAGAGGCCGATGGGATTGGGGGTATCGGTGGAAAGGTACCGAAAAGAGTTGCAAGACCGAATCACCAGGGCCCAACGGATCACCAGTCGAAACCTGAGGAGCACCCAAGGGATACGGGAGAGGCGCTACAATGAAAAGACAAGAACACAGACGTTCCAACTGGGAGACAGAGTTTTGGTATTGCTGCCAACCTCCTCAAGCAAACAGCTGGCAATGTGGCAGGGCCCGTTTACCATTGTGAGACAAGTTGGGCTGGTGGATTATGAATTACTTAAACTGGGTCACCGTCGGGAACGCCAGATTTACCACGTGAATCTGCTCAAGGAGTGGAAGACTCCTCAGGGCTGGATGGCACTAGAAGATGATACAAGGGAAGACCTGGGACCACCTTAGGGGATCCCCGGAGGAGGGGTTGGTACAAATGGGCAAGGAGCTGGACAACCAACAACGGCAAGAATTATTAACCTTAATAGAAGAGTTTAGGGCGGTGTTCCAAGAGGTCCCGGGATGGTAACGGGAGTAGAACATGAGATCAGGACACCTCAGGGAACCCTGGTTAGGGAGAGGTGGAGGCCAATACCTCAATGGTGACAACAGGAAATAAGGCAGGAGATCATGAAGATGCAAGAACAGGTGATTATACGCCCCTCCCACAGTCCTTGGTGGAGTCCCATAGTCCCCGTGGTCAAGCCAGATGGGTCACTGCGCATATGTATAGACTATAGAAAGCTTATTGCCCTGACTATGTTTGATGTCTTTCCGATGCCCCATGTCACTCA